GGGCCACGGTAAAATTATCAAAGGCTGACTGGTCCGCGGCGATAAAAAGGTTGGGGACCACTGCCTTAGTGGATGTGAAGTTTTGTTTTTCTCAACTTCATTGTTCGTTTGTTTTTAAAGTCTGTTAGTTTTAAAAAATAATTGCAAAGTTAACATCCTACAAAGCAAAGAATTGACCTTAATAGCAATAGCACTTAGACTTATATACCACTTCTTAGTGCTTTGCAGCCCCATCTAAGGAGTTTACAGAGTCAGAATATTGCCCTCAACAATCTGGATTCTCAGTTTACTGACTCAGAGCATAATCTATATTTCTAACACAAACTCTGTGCTTCATATAGATCTCAGATAATAATCTTAGCAAATAAGATAGTGGGTAACTTGCTTTGCTTTCTGGTTGGTTCAGTAGGCCACTGAAATCATTTTGAGTATGCCAGAAAATGTATTCTTATAATTCCTGAAGAGTTTGTTAATTTAAAAATCTGCAGATCTCAATCTAAATTAAATGAAATTGAGCAAGTTTTAGTTCAATGAGTACAGTGCTGGATGCAATACTAGCATAATGACTCACACTAATGTACTGCAGAAAAATAAATTATTTGTCCCAAGCCAATATTATTTCATGCTTGTTCTTTCAATTATATGCTTGGAACAAATACAAACCCATTTTGTTTTCCACAATTCCATCACACAAAATATATAAAAGATTTTAAGGGGTAAGTGGGTCCAGAACCAGGCTATTTTGTTCAACATGCACAAGAAGAAACTTCATTTAGAAGTTTTTCTGTATTTCTCAATCAGGTATGATCCATTAAATGTGAAGTTCTAAACTTATCCTGTTTGTTTGTTTGTTTTTGTTTGTCTTCAAATCATCTATTAGTTTGGATTATCTTTAACCCGGATGGTTTTACAGAAATTTAAAAATACAACTATGACAAATTCTCAAAGTCAAAATACATAACAAACCTGAAACTTCAATTAAAGAACTGCATGGAACAACAGATGATAAAATACTACAACATTTTTACTGCAGTTGAGTGGATGATGTACATATCAAAAAGATACAACAAAAAGACTTAGGGAATGTCGGGTCCTATGTTTTAATGTCTTTTTTGATCTCTTGCAGGCATAAAAAGGGATTGAAAACAAAATTATAGCACAGAAATTTGGAACTCCTAACAGTATATAATTAAATGAAAATTTAATACTATAACTCTATTATTCAGAAACCAAAGGGGGAAAAATACAAGGATTACTAGTAACTTTAAAGCTAAGTACAACATAATAAATCAACATTAAATGCAATATAAATAAATATATTATTGTTAATCAATTTAATAATTTGAGACATTTCCTAATGTAATAATCAATATAAACAAATCATTGTATAATTCATCATGTACATGTATACATCCGAATTAGACTCTGTTGTTTCTCCATGTCATATATGTGGGTATGTGCATAATTTTGTAATTATTATTTATTTCGTCATGTTTGTGTAGTGTATATTGGAGTTGGTGACCCTTCGACAGCTGTATGCAACTAAATTTCATTTTAATGTATGCCAATTAGTGTACTTTCAAAGTAACAATAAAGTTAGTCTAAGTCTAACATCAAACTACACAGCTCAAGTAACCTTACCATTAAACATATGTCAAGAGATGTATATCCCTAGATTTTAAAATACTACATATTATCATTTTGTAGAATTGCCATCTCTGCTTTATTGATACAAATTTGAATGTAGGTGATCTTTAAAAGACCATTCAAGATCCAGAATACAACAGTGCATATGATGAAGATCATACATCAATTCATGGGGATTGCTGCGCTGTTCTGGGAGTTGTCGTCCAGACATTGTTACCAAGTTTGAGAAACACTGATGTGGTTAATGCACCAAGTCAGAAACCAAAGACTTTGTGAGTTCTTAGGCACAAAGGGAACTGAATGACCTTAGGCTACTCACTATCTTTCAGTACTAGGAAGGAAGCAACATTGACAAGAAAGCATACAGAGGGAGGGGGAGATAATGAATATGAATATATCCAAATCGTTCCATGAATCTTATTACACAGAAAGCACACATCCTCGCTTTAAATACATCATGAGAAGTTCAGAACTGCACATGAGAAGTTCCATCTTTAACCTTTTCCTTAGCCATGCTTCCACCGTGCTAAGCAGCAGCCTCCCAAACCCTCCAAGTCTGGGCCAAGCTGCTCTTAGTGCTATCATGAGCTTTGTAAAACTCGCTATGCACAGCTCCGCTTTGCGCGCATGCGTAGAACGGAACAGCCCTTGGAAGCACCTGGCCCGCTACGCATCTTTTCCCCTCTTAAGCACATGGGAATGGGATGCTGAGTGACACAGGTGTGTTTGGGACGGAAGGATGAAGCAACAATATAGCTTTACCTTTCTATCGCCCGCACGGTATAGCTAATGAGCGGCCTTCCCAGCATGGGGCAAAACTGCTTCGGGGTGCTGCCACCCAGCCTTTCCCCGCTTCCTCCGGCAGGTAGAACTGCTGCTACCGATACTGGCGGCGATCGCCGGCAGGGTCCGGTCTCACCTGCCTCTTCTAAGTCATCGGCTTTCCCGACTCCAGCCCCCGGCGGCTCCATTACGTGCTTACCCCTCAAAAACGACTCGCAGCAGGCTACGCTCAATTGCTTTGCCTTGGATTTGAAAACTGTGAGTCGCAAGAGTGCCCCGTTTTAATCACTCCATATTGTCATGGGACAATTGATTTTAGTCTCCATTTTTAAATCGTTTCTTTAAAGCTATGCTGGCCCTTTAAAGGACCTTTCGGAAGTGGAAGAGAAGCCGAAGAACGGGCGGAAGAGAAGGGGGGAACCTACTGCGCACGCGTTGCGTTTCTTACTCAGCTGGAAAGCCATTGATTGGAGAAGCAAAAGCTTCCAGTCTCGCTGCTGGGTTCAGACTGTGCCCGCTATTTGGATTGCGATGTACCTTTCAAATGTTTTTATTCGTGCATATATGGTGTGTTGACTTTAAAAAAGGCTTTTATAAACCCAACAGGTTCAGAGAGATTACCATTCTCGCCTTTTGTCACAGAAACTTATCTTAAATATTAACTTGTATTCTCTGCCATACAATATACATAAAACTATGTTTTCTATGAATATAGACTATCGTAGATGGAAGTAATCTACACTATGGGGCATATATTTAGTATTTATTCTTCTGTGAATACTTGATAACCTCTAGAAAGGTTAAGAATGCTGACACCAACTTTAGAATATAGTGGTTTTTATGCTTAAAAAGTTTTGAAAAATTAAAAATGGACAATACAGATTCTGATGGGCACAATGAAAGGTATCTGTTAGTAGATTGGTACCTGTGATGATACGTTGCCTGTAACAACTTTTAATTTCCTTAGAATTCAGCTAAGACGCTGAACTTGTCGATCAGAAAGGTCGGCAGTTCAGTGGTTCGAATCCCTAGCGCTGCGTGCGGAGTGAGCTCCCGTGACTTGTCCCAACTTCTGCCAACCTACCAGTATGAAACCACGTAAAAATGCAAGTAGAACATCATTCCAGGTGCCTTTCATTTTTAGTCATGCCAGCCACATGACCACAGAGACATCTTCAGACAGTCGTGGCTCTTCAGCTTTGAAACAGAGATGAGCACCACCCTCTAGAGTCGGGAACAACTAGTACATACTATATTGCCAAAAGTATTCGCTCACCCATCCAAATAATCAGAATCAGGTGTTCCAATCACTTCCATGGCCACAAGTGTATAAAATCAAGTACC